GGAAAATTGCAGTAGAAAGGCTCGAACTGCCCCTGGAGGAGAACAGAGGTGGGCCAAGCCCCCTGGAAGCTGAAGAACCCCCCCATCTCCAGAGTGGGGGTGGCCAGTATTTCAGGGGAGCTGGAAGGTGGCAGATACATGTGAAAATGGCTAGACGAGGAGCTGGAATGGTGAGCAGAGCCTTCAAGATAGTTTTTTAATTAGTAAGGAATCATTGACATATAACATTATATCAGTTCCAAGTGTCCAACATAATGATTCAGTATTTGTGTGTATTGCAACACGGTCACCACACTCTTCAGGGACACCTGTGCAGGGCCCGAGCAGCGAATTGATTGTGGCTTCAGCACAGAGCTCTTCTCAGACAGTTCATAGCTCCCTTTCTAAACTGTGGGGTTTTTTAATGGCTGTACAAAAGTTGAGTGCTAAGAGTTCCTTATACAGAACACATGGATTCAGGCGTTTCTGGAAAGAGAGAAAGGAGGGAGAAAGGGAGGAGGGAAGCTCCAAATTCTTGACCTTACCAGCCACTGCAAGACTATTAGTGGTCATGAAGTTAAATTGCTGTTTCAAGATTTTAATCTCTGGATGAGTAACAGGAGAGCTCTTGCTGTGTTTACAGGTGATGAAGAAAGGATCCCTTTTCTTTGGAACACTGATAGCCATTGGCAGTACCTACTTACTTCTGTGCTCCATGTCACCGAGACACCTGGACTACTTGAGGAGACCATGGGACTGGGTCACTAACCTCAAGAATACAGGACATGTTTCGCTGCAAACTCCATGGAATTACTAGAACAAGTCTCTGATGTAATTAGCAGGTGACAGAAAGGTGCTGGAGTAGCAAATACACTTGATTTCTCTGTAATCAAATCTAAGGATCAGAACCATGTTTCCCATCATCTTATTTAATTCTCCAGTGGCAGGTGTTTGTCAGCCTAGAATTAATTTCAATGTAGAATTTCCATGTGTTCACTGACACTTTTTTTTTTAAAAAGGCCACCACTTCAAGTTGCAATAAGCAGCTTCCCCACAATACTATGCTTATGTCAAGTCCTTCTAAATATTAACGTGTAATGCCTCTTTCACTCCTCAAAAAGCAAGGTCTAGAGGCATCGAGGAAGACACCGATCACACTTTCTTTAAGGGACAAAATAGAAGTCACAGTAGGATTGACTCAACATCTGGGACCATATAACCATTTGCCTGACATCTTAATGGCCCTTTCACCACCTGGAAGCAACGTATCTAAGCACAGGGCTCAGATTCATTTGATGGAAACTAGGACTATAAATGAGAAATTTGGGGACTTTCTAGAGAGTTCCCATGAATTGATACTATTTCCCAGTCTCCAAAGGCCAGTGTTACCTTTCGAAGACTAGGAAAATCTATTAATGCCATGCTAAGTGAGGGACAGGAAGGGGTGTATTTATAAACCAAATATCTACATATACAAGAGCCTAGAAAGGAAAACAGGGAGAGGGCATTCGTATAAATATGAAGCCACATGTTATTCCATTTCAGACTTTTAGGAGCAATATACCAACTTATATTTTAATATATTTTTATTGATTTTTAGAGAGAGAGGAAGGGAGAGGGAGAGAGAAATATCGATCGGCTGCCTCCAACACGCACCCCAACCAGGGATCGAACCTGCAGCCTGTGTATGTGCCTGACCAGGAACCAAACCAGTGACCTTTCGGGGCACAGGACAATTCTCAACCAAACTGAGCCACACCGGCCAGGGCTACCAACTTATTTTTGAACTCTAGGCTGTGGCAAACCAGAAATAAACTGATTTTTAAAAGCTCACTCAGTGAAAATGTTTTCTTTGCTTGTCGCTTCTTCAACAGGCCAACTGAATCGCTTAGAAATCTTTCAAACATGATTAATTATGAAAACGGGACATGAATAGGACAGTCACCTAAGAAATAAATATCAAGCAATAAAGTAAAACGGTTCACTGTTTCTCTTCTATATTGTCAAAGAAATGCCTGAGTTCTAATAATCCACGTGTGGTCTAAACAGTGACTCACGGAAAAGTGGCCTCTACACTATTAAATTATCCGGTGGATTGATTGAAGACCAATAAAGATTAAATAACACATTTTTTAAGTACAGTTCTAGACTAATTTTCATTCCCCCTTCCAATGTCGGTTGGTTTGGTTGGTTGCAACTCCTTTTTAAAATCCAGAACTCTCGGCAAAAGTGTGGGAAATTATTGAGAGGAGAGATGATCCTGCCCTGCTCGTGTTTGAAATGACATATGGGGAGGTGTGTCCCCTGCACATACATGACGGCCTACGCTCCAGGATTTCCCTGAAACTCACCATCTTGCTTTCTTGGCTGTGTTGCCTTTTTCTTAAATTGAATTTATTGGGGGGACATTGGTTAATAAAATTATATAGGTTTCAGGGGTACAATTCTACCCTGCATCCTCTGTATGTTGTACTGTGTGTTCGCCTCCCCAAGTCAAGTCTCCTCCCATCGCCATTTACCCCCCTCTCCCCTCTCGCACCCCCAACCCCCTTCCCTCTGGCCATCACCCTCCTGCTGTCTGTGTCTGTGACTTTTCCTTTCTTTGCTTAATCTGTTCACCTTTTTCACCCAGCTCCCCGCTCCCCTCCCCTGTGTGGTTTTCTGGTAGCATCTTCTAGAGCTTGCAGAGCACCACGTTTATCAGAAGCTCCTCTTTATCACGTAGAAAGTCTTTTGTTTCCTATAAAATTCGGGGTTTGGTTTCCCCTTCTTCCTGGAAGGGTCTCTGATAAAACTTGGTTGGTCAAACACTTGACGTGACACCGACTAGAAACCCACGCTACAGAAAATCCAAGATCTTCTAGCGATTTCGCACCAGGGTGGGAGCCAAAGTTATTTTTACAGCAACGTGGTTTTCGAGAAGAACGTATTATGTGCCTTGTAAAATGCCGTCGTTTAAAGCTATATTTAAAATGAAAGTTTCCAACATGTTAGAAGTTGATGGGGCCAGATGCCAGTCGTGCGCCCACGGGCCTCACTATGTAAAGTGCCTGTTGACTAAAAGAACTGGTCTCGCTCAGTTGCCCCAGAGGCTAGAGACCATATATACGAACGACTCGAATTTCCTTTTGGGCCACAAAAGTGTGGTTGATGTTCCAAACGGTGGGGACTCCAAAACAGTCCTTGTGATGGGAGTCTCAGAGTGGTGTTCAACTGAAGTCCCCATGTCGCCTCTCCATTCGTGTTTGTTCTTATAAAGGCCGTACTTGGATCACATCAGCCTTGGAGACGTTGGTTTTGTCACTGTCGTCGACTGATAGCGATTCATCACTGGTGATGATAAAGATGATGGAAGAAGAGTTAAAAGTGACTTTTTTCTTTGGCCTGTCACTGTCCTTCTGGGACATCACGATGGGCCTGATCTGCATCTCGCTCCCTGCTGCTGAGAGGTCTGGAGCGGGCCTCTGGCCCCTCTGCAGTCGGAAACAGAGCAGCTGCCAAAGGGACCTTCGAAACTGGGCAGAGAGAAAATGACGTTGAAGAACAAGAAAAGTGTAGCCCCCAAACTGGACTAACAGTCAAGACAATCGGTTACATTTAATGCGGGTTTTTCTCTATTTATTGTCTGAGAGGGGTGGTCATACTCAGACCTACCTAAGCAACCCTGCATTTTTTTTCCTTTTATTTATTATAATTCTCATGCATTAGACCACGTAGGAATGTTTCAATACCTATAATCTCCGCAGATTCAAGTTGCGTGGAACATCTATGAGGGAAACTAGATTTCTTTCTGTCAGGAATTTTGAACAGAGATTGATCCCACAAATCTTCAGTGAGCATTGTGCCTTCTAGGTGACAGTCACTGAACCTGGGGATCCTGTGGGCAGCAAAGACACGCAAGGCCCTTCCTGGCAGAGAAAATGGTGTGATGGGCTCATTAATGTTCCTTTAATTGGGTGAAGAATTATTTTTCGATCAAGATTATGAATCAGTTGGAGCCAAAACGCTACAACAGAGAGTGCCAGTGTCCACCAGCACCCCCGTGTTTTCTCTCTGTCTTGGGTACACCACTATTTCTCAGCCCCCTTCAGGGGCTCCTCCTTGCTCTCCCCCATCCATAAGACTCTTGAAGGTCAAGGTGTGAAGCTGGTCACAACTCACACTCCTAAGTGACTGAATGGGACAGACCCCACCTTCTCCACAGTGGCCCGTGGACTCTGATCTGAATGAGCCGTCAGTAACCATTTTCTTGTTAATCCACTGATATGCTGAGGTTTTTGACAGTCTATCATGACCAATCAACCATATAAATAAAACGTTAGTTACTTTAATTTTTATCTCCTTTGTTTAGAGTAATACATGGGCTTTCCCAGGTCAGGAAATATCAATAAAACATATAATAGCTACATTGATATCTATAGTCTTTGAAGCCCATTTATATTTGTTAACATTTAATTTATACTCACCTTAAAATATTTATTTGTTTGAGACTTTATTGATTCACCAATCTACTGTTTGGTATGTCAGGTCAAGGGCTAAAGATACATTATTATAAGTGTTAAATAGAGCATGTATGCCAAAGAGAGTGTTTTCCAATATGAATGGTAAGCTCCTTGAGGACAGGACCAGTTTCACTTATTTATTTAGTTGTTTTTGTTCATTTGTTTATTAAGTTACTCCCAGAAGTCAGAAACATCAGGACCATGTGGGAGCTGCTAGAAAGGCAGGATCTTGGGCCCTCAAGCACACTAAATGAGAATATGCATTTTTTACAAGATCTCCAGGTGTGCTGTACACATATTAAAGTTTTAAAAGGACTGATGCATACCCCCTGGCCCAGAGAAAGGGCACAAAAATAAGTGTTAGTTAATGTAGTTAAAATGTACTCTCCTGCCTGTTGAGGTGTAGTCCTTAAAGTAAGGAGGTCTTATATTCCTTCAGAAAATTAAAGTTACAATCCATCTCACTAGAAAAATTCACATGAGCAAATTTTCAGAGTTTTATAAACAGTTTTAGGAGTTCCAGTGGCTCCCCTGTGGCCAATTCAAGGAATTCTTAGGTTCTAACACATTCCCAAGTTAAAAAATCTCTGGGGTCAAGGAAATGGGCAAGTGGAAGACTACATGAAAGGGAGAGAAAGACCACCAGTGAAAGGAGATGGAAGCCATGTGAGAGCAACTTCATGGAGAGGGTAAACCAACTCTATTCAAGGTCAAGGAAAGGCATAAGCAAAAAGGAAGAGCTTGGCTGGTGTGGCTCAGCGGTTGAGCATGGGCCTAGGATCCAGGAGATCAGGGTTCGATTCCCGGTCAGGGCACAGGCCCGGGTTTCGGGCTCGATGCCCAGCCAGGGGCGTGCAGGAGGCAGCTCATCAGTGACTCTCATCACTGATGTTTTTCTCTCTCTTTCCCTCTCCCTTCCTCTCTCTGAAATCAATAAGTTTTAAAAAAAGGAAGATTTAGCAGTGAAGATTATAAACTTAATATAAAAGTGCCCCATCCTCCAAACTCTGGAAGCATTAAAAGTCAGAGTAGTTCTTTTGCCTGTTNACTCCCCCTTCCTCTCTTTGAAATCAATAAATTAAAAAAAGAAAAAAAAAAAAAGAAGAAGATTTAGCAGTGAAGATTATAAACTTAATATAAAAGTGCCCCTTCCTCCAAACTCTGGAAGCATTAAAAGTCAGAGTAGTTCTTTTGCCTGTTATTAATATGACCTGTTACTTAAAAATTCCAATATCGTAATGAACTGTTATTCGTAACTTTTAAATTCTCTGATCTTGGCACTTTGTGACTTAGAGGCTCAGCTTCGTATCAGTCTCAGTGAGGGCGCTCTGAGGCATGACCGCCCACCGTCAAGCCAGAACTACAGTGGTGTGTGCATGTCACAGTTTCCTACGACAGAAACAGAAAATAAACTTCCCGGATTAAGTTTCTTGAGCCAAATTCATCTTAGCTCCACGTGGGCCGTGGCATAACAACAGCCCAACCAACTGCTAACGGTGCCTAGAACCCCAACCGAGGAGCTAGGGGGGTGAATTTATAGGATTAAAGCAAACAAAGTTCAAACCCAGCCATCAACACTTCCCAGATCAGGCAACTTATTTAACTTCTCTGAACATATTTAATAATCCATAAATAAAATAAGGAATAACATCAGTGCCCACGTCATAGAGTTTTGTGACGATAGGTGCAACCTGCATAGTACAGGAAGAATGTTAAATGCACATACTCACTCTATTTGCTGTGGTCTGAAACCAAACCCACAATATCTCCTAGGTATGCCTGTATTATTAGCTTCTATTGTGGCTGTTATTATCACTAAAAATGTTTCCTAGTGAATGAAATATTAATTGTAATGGAAATTTACCTAACAAGCATGAACCTCCAATGGTAGAATTATCATTTTCGTTGGGAATATCCTACATGTCTTCCTGAAGCCTTTCCTTTCCTGTAAAATTTTTGATTCAGGTTTTTATCATGGAAGCTGCTCTGAATTATTTCTATAAACATATTACATTTTTCAACCACCCCACCCCCAGGGTGAAAACAGTCGGTTGATTACAAAGCTCACCTTTCTGATCATGAAGATATAAATAAGCGGGTTATATACAGTGCTCAATTTAGCAAAGAGATAGGAAACAACAGACACTGTGGGAGTGACCAGGTGTCCATAGCCATTCACCACCAAGAAACAGGTCACAATATAAGGCATCCAAAAGATCAGGAAGATGAATATCATAAAAAAGCACATTTTGGCCACTTTCTTTTCATATCTTAAAATCTTGATCACTTGAATTGTCTGAAGATCTTCAACACCACGAAGCTGCAGAAAGAAAGAAAGGAATCTTTTTCTTTGTTGTTTCTCTAACAGAATTCTTGGCCCCACCTTAATGGAAAAATAACTGAGCAGGACTTCAGGGGCTGAGTTCTGACCCAGGACCTGCATTGGGGCCCAGCCCTTAATTTCTCGGGGCCTCAGTTTCCTCATTTTTAAATAATACATTGCACTACATAGTCTCTTAGATCCTTTAATGGCTTTTCATGTTTTCTAATTTACTTAAAGAAGTATAAAGTGAATCGTGAATTCATTAAAAGACAACCTGAAGGACTTGATAAATTGGAACAATTTCTCCACGACCCTGGAAACTGCTTTATCCAGGGCATGATCCTCAGACCCTCAGAGCAGGCAGTTATATGACAAAGTTCCTCAGATAAAATGTGCTTTAGAAGTTCCTCCTATTATTATACATGTGTTATTAAGGGGAGGGAGAAATATTCCTGTACACCACAATTATGCTCTTAAATTAAATGGTTATTTCTGGCTATATTAAGCTCATTATGTTACAAAAATATAAATTCTTTAAATGTTGATTTTAAAAACAGTACCTGGCCTACTGTTGAGGCTTAGTAGGTAATTTTAAACTGGGAAATTTACTGCATTTCAACAAACTCTAAGTGTTCCTTTTACTTCTAGCATTATTATGAAAATTAAGGAAAATTTTCCAAATAAGTTAGAACATGTGCTTATAGTACTTAAAAATATATTTGAACTAATATATCTAAATTACTGAAACTACCTGAAGTTATATTTAAGAAACTAGATTCTTATTAGAATCTTATATTCCTATGGACAAAGAATAAAGATAACATATAATTAAAATGTTGTTTTTCTTGTTTATTTTGGTTTTTTGGGTTTTTTTTAGAGTAGAGGGACTGGATACAGATACCAAAAAAAAAAATTCTTCTTGGGGCTTTTTCAAATTCCTTTGAGTTTATGGAATCTAAAAATGTTTTAATCATATAAACAATCATAACCTAAACACATATACTTCTCACCTTTTCTCACATATAATATTCCCAAACATTACATAGACCACGACTCCGAAAAGGAAGTTGACCAAAGGTCTATTGCCCATTAACCAAAACCTTCTCAAAACCCAGATGGCTCCTCTTAGACTAGGATTCGGAGCTGGTTTCATGCTCAAACTGGATCTCCAAGGTTTGCAAATACCCTCAGCTGGGCTAAAGGCACAGAGTCTCTAGCTCTGTGCTCCCTAGAGACTCTGAACCTGTTACCACAGAAAACCCAAGTTCCCAGACAGGTCCTCTTTGCACTTTCACCACTTCCCCTTCTATGCCCTCTGTCTGCTTCTCATTCTAAAAATAGTCACCTATCACATGCCCGCATTGTTCCAACTCTATTTAAAAAAATAAGACTGGGTCTCTGCTCTTGAGGAATTAATTCACTATGTGGTGAGGGTGACAATCACACAGACTGCTTCGGTAAGTGACACAGGCCACGGGGGAGGTGAGTAGGAAGGGCAATGGGAATACACCAGATGGGTAATCGATTCAGAGGTTGGGTTAGAGCAAGGAGATCCCAAGCTTAGCCTTCTGAGGTGAGTAGGAGTTGACCAAGTAAGGAGGAGAGACAGAAGAATGTTCCAGAGAAAAGAAGAGCATTAAGGAAAACTGGTAAAAGAACAGATGTCAAGGTCTAGGAACAAGAAATATTGCAGTTGGCTGAAGACTGAGGTGGCAAGAGGGAGGGAATGTCGAGAAATGATGCTGGACAGGCAGACAAGACCTGGTAGTCAAACTCAAGGACTTTGCTTTTAATGATGAAGGTAATGCAACCGCTAAAGGATTTTAAGCTAGGCAGTGACATGAGAATATTTGGATTTGAGAACAATTACTCTGGCGGCAGCGTGAAGAAAATGGACTAGAGGAAAGCAAGAATGAAGGAAGAAAGCTAAGATCCTTTCCAATTGTGTCTGTGGCAGCAGGAGAGGGGGAAAGTGGTCCATAGAAAAATATTTGAAGTTGAATAGATAAAATTTGATAATTGGATGTGGGGTGAAACAAGGATGAAGGACAGTTAAAGATGACTCTCCAATTTCTGTGTAGCTAGGAATGAAGACCATTCACTGAGAAAGGGAATGGAGGAGTAGATTTTGGGGGAAAGGTGACCAATCCATCTTCACAAGTGTGGAATTTCACTAGTCCATGGACCATCCAACTGGAAGTGGTCAATAGGCAATTGACTGGGAATCTGATAGAGGTCAGAAGAACACCCTGGATCAGAAACAGAGATTTCAAAGTCACTAAGCTATTGTTAGGGGGAGAAATCCCGGAGTCTATGAGACTATCCAAGGCTAGTACATAGCATGAGGTGAGAGCTAGGCATAGAAGGCTGGGGAGGCCCACACAAAAGAAGCCCTTGAAAGAGACTTGAGAAGATGGGCCAGATAGTCAGCAATAAAGATAGGAGAGAATGGGATCCTAGAAACAAAGGGAGGGGGAAATCATAGTTAAGTGGAAGCTGTCACTAATGCCAGAAGGTTCAAATACCTCAGATGCCAGAAAACAAAGAGAAATAGAAATGTGCCCATTGGATGTAACCTTTGGGAAATCATCAATGATCTTAATGAGAGTTGTGTCCATGAGGATGTGGTAGAGGAAGGAGGTGCCAATGTGTAATGGGTTGAAGAATAAATGCTAGGTGAATCTACTAAACTACAAATTCTTTGAGGCAAGGACTGCATCTTACTCATTGCATCATCAGAGCTTAGAAAATGTCTTGGCTTGTGTTTCCATAACAAAATACCATGGACTGAGTGGCTGAAATACCACAGATCTGGAGGCTGAGGGGTCTAAGATCAAAGTGCAATGTAGATTTCCTGCTGAGGCCTCTTTTCTTGGCTTGGAGATGGCCACCTTCTCTCTGTGCTCTCGCATGTGGAGAGAGAGTGAATTCTGATCTCACTTCCTCTTATAAGGGCACTAATCCCATCATAAGGACCTCACTCTCATGACTTCATATAACCCTAATTAACTTTCCAAATCCTCATCTCTGATGCTATCACATTGGGGGTTAAAGCTTCCACATATGAACTTAGGGGGACAAAGTATTCAGTCCATAACAGTAATTGGTACATTTTAGATGTTCAATAAATACTGGTTAAATGAATTCTTATTGAGTGATGATGTAGCACCAAAAGCCACCAATGGTTCTTTGGGTTATCAGTGATGATGAAATAAAATGATAACTAGAGGGAGTTGAGAGTGTATTTTGCTTTTGTATTAAATTAACACAGTTATATGCTAAAGTAAAAGAGCCAGTAGTATGGGAGACATAGAAGATGTAAGTGAAAAAGAAAAGTATGACTTAAGAGACTTCCCTGGGGCAAAGAGTGGAGTGGGGGCAAAAACCAGAATCTAGGGTCAGCTTGGTCCTGAGAGACCTCTCCCCTTACCCTGTAACTGAAAGGAAGGGTCTAAGAGTGATTTATATACAGATTTATATAAAGGAAAGAAGGGAGTTGAGGAATTTCTTGATAATGGCTCTGTTTTGCCTAATAAATAAGAAGCATGATTTTTTTTGATAAGAATTAGGTCATGGAGACAGTAGTAAGAAAATAAATTAAAACAAGAATTGAGAATTTGTAGTGGCAATTGTGTAAGGAGAGTGGACCATCTTGCCATCCAAAGATTGCTAGATACTATCGAGAGGACGTCTGTGTACGGACACTGGGAATCTGGTATGGTTTTTCTCCAGCTCTTGTTTGTAGATTGACTACAGGCATGGAGAAAACAGAGTTGCATTGATCCAAGGATTTTTTATTTTATTTATTTTTTTTACAAAATAGATATGTGGGAAGAAAGTTGGAAGATGGAGGTTGAGGGAAGTGGGTCATGATTTAGAGTAATACATGTGGCCAAGTTTGATTTAAAAAATAGAAGTGAAAGCCAGAGGAGTTGGAAGAGTGAAGAAGGGACAGGGGAGTGTTTTTTGTTGTTATTTTTTTTGTTTTTACAGGGGACTTTTGATGAAAGAAGAAACAGTAGGGAGAAGGCCTGAGTAAAAAACACACACACACGTGGTTGAAATTAGACACCGGAGCATGGAGTCTGCCCCACACCCTGTTACTTCAGGCTTCACTCCTGCACCCAACAGGAAATCTGCTGGTTGTCAGTTCTCATTCTTTGACTTTCAAGTGATCCGCTGACAAAACACCTGCACTCTTCTTTAATGGTTTACGTGACCTTTGGATGAATAAAATTATGGGGAGTGTGGAATTCCCTTCGTTAGAGTTCTTAAATTCTAAGTGTGCTGGAAAACAAAGGCTTTTTTGTTTTTGTTTTTCGCTTGTTGATTTTTTTTCTGTCCAGAACCCCTTGGCTTCCTCCTGGTTTAGATGAGAGAATACATGGCAACCCTCATTGATCTTTTGGGAGAGTGACTCGTAGTGCAAAATTCTATCCAACAGGAAGAGCCGCGCAGCTGTGGGCGGCTACTGACCATTCAGGAAGAATTTCGTTCTTGTTGTTGACCCCACACAGAATTTTGTACCCTGGACACAGTTTGGGGTGGGGGAGCATTTGTAGCCTTCAACTCACCATTCGAATGGAATACAGAATATGGCTGTAGCAATGGGCTATGACGCCCACAGGCACCACCAGTCGGCCAAGAAATAAAAAAGGGACAAAGGAGGCATCGTTGGCGTCCTTGGATTTCCAGTCCACAGCGCAGCCCAGTCCATGGACATCCAGGATGTACCTGTTCCAGCCCAGGAGAGGGGCTCCTGACCATGCCAGCGAGTACAGCCAGATGTAGGTAATGGCCCTCCAGGCCCAGGAAAAATTGATCACTCTGGCATGGACCACACGAATATAACGTTCATAGGCCAGCACAGTTAGGGTGGTCATGGAAACAATCCCTGCAGGAAGAGAAAGTGCGATACTATAGCAATGCACGGGGGACACAGACGTGACAGGGGGCTGCATTCTCCACTGGGACACCCTCAGTGTCCCGAACCAGCGAGGTGCTCCAAATGCTGAAACGGCTAAGACGAACGCTGCCTCGCTGCCCCCAGGAAATTGGACTGGAAATATATTTATCCATAAAAGAAAATGTGGGATAGAAAATACCATGTGGATGGCAGCAGGGCAAAAATGAAAGCCCTAAAACTAGCCGCCCTGGCAATGCAGCTATTGCGTTAAATTTCCTGCAGAGAGAAACTCCGGAGCAAGTCATGGGGCGTCACTAATGGGAGTGTCTCTTATGGTGTTTCCTTCTGGCAGCTGTGTCTCACTCAGCTATTTAGAAGTAAAGTCAAAGTGGCTTCTGCGGTGTAAACTGACCACAGTGATGGTCACACCACGCAGGAGGCCTCACCCTACTGCTGGCAGATGGCAACCTACCAACTGCTCACATGCGAGCATCGCCACGCTCCCACGGTCTTCATTTGTACCTCTACTTGCAACAGATACACTTTCACAGTGTTATTTGTTTATTTCTCTGCCTCTCCCCAAAGTGATTTATTCACTCAGCAAGCTCCTATTGAGCACCGCGTGTGCGGGGCACGGTGCTGACCCAGGAGGTTCGATGATGACGCAGGCGCACAACTCGAGCTGTCGGGAGGCAATGCAGATGTGTGAGCAGCTGGAATATTGCACGAGGTGTAAGTGTTACAATTCTGATCCAATGTATTGTGGGATTCACAGGAAAGGGGGCCTTTGTGAACGAGGCAGTAGAAGCACATCCCAGGAAGAATGAAAAATTGTGCCCAGAGCACCGAGCCCATCAAAGGGGCTAAAAATGATGAGGGGATTCATCTTCCAGGGCTTGGAGAAGATGCAGAGAGAAAATTAGAAAGAGCAGATGAAGCCATATTGAGGAAGACTTTTTAATTTCTGGCTAAGGTATTTGTTGTTGTTTAAAAAAAACAAAAACACCTTTTTCTGTATAAAAGAGTAAATTATAAGTAGGTTACTACATCATGTTTTTTAAGCTTGAAAGTGACTGGAAGAAAATTTGGTTTTGAAATATGATAGCGGAGGTATTTCAGAAAGTAGTGATATAATAGCAAACGATGAACTTAAATTCACATTATAATCAATTCTGGGGAAGATATCAAGTTAGATGTGCTGGCTTCAGAAATAAGAATCTATTTTCAGCTTATTAAATTTCTACTAAGGACTCATCTTTTCTTTAACTGAATATATTCCTAGAGGAACATCTACAAACCTAAAGATAGTGACATAAGTTGACTCTGACAAAATACTGTTGGCTTTTTTAGTTTACAAACTTTCTTAATAAAAATAATGATATTTAATTATATAGTTGCCTTTAAATGTTAAAACATAGTTTGGCCTTTAACTTTTAGTTACTTTACCTTGAATATAATTTAGCCCTTCAAAGCTAAGAAAGCTTGCTGCAAACAAGTAGGTCAGCAAATCTCAGTGTACCTCATAGATAAATAAATGAGTTCTTACGGTTAAAGCTGGTATAATTTTAACTTTCATTCATTAGTTAGTCATTAAATATTTATTGCTTATCTCCATGTCAATCATTGTGCTAGAAAACAGATATAAAGAAGTGAGTGAAGTAAGTGCCTCATGGAACTTACATACGGTTGTACAAGAGATAACAATAAAAAAATGAAGCATCATGGCAAAGTGTGACAACCCCTTTGTACCTTCCCATAAATCTACAGCTAGTGCGACATCTATAACCCAGCAAAGGTTCCTCTGTTCAGTGCACTAGGATGCCTGAGAGATCCTCACATCAGGACATCTGAAGAGGGGCATATTAGGACGGCTGGGGAAGGCAGGACAAGGGGAAGGACAGGGATGGTGCCCACAGGCGTGGTTACCTGACTGAGCCCAGGGCTCCAGATAATGCAGTAGAGGTGAAGGGGCAGGATGAGCCCCCCCCACCATCTGGTGGAGGGTAAGAGGAGCAGCAGCAGCATCCTCACCAGAGAATCCAGCCCCCTCCCCCAATCGCAGCAGAGACTAGCAGCTGCAGAGACACATCTGTTGCCTCCCGCAGCACCAACAGCCACAGGGAACTAGGTAGCATTGCAAAAGTTGGGCTGGCTCTCCCCCACCCACCACATTCCCCCACCACATTGGTGGTCCCTCTAGAACCAGGCGGTTCAGACACAGTAGGGGCACCCACCACCTGGGTTACCCAGGCAGTGACGCCTGTGACCACAATGACATTCCCCGCAGTGACACTGGAGGCACAGAGAACAGACTGACAGTTGACAGAGGTGAGGAAGGTTGGGGGGCTGGGTGAAAAAGGTGAAGAAATTAAGTACAAATTGGCAGTTACAGAACAGTCACAGAGATGTAAATTATAGCATAGGGAATATAGTCAATAATATCGTGATAACTATGTATGGGGCCAGGTGGGTACTTGAAACACTGGAGGGCTGGGGGACCACTCTGTAAAGTACATGGTTTTCTAAACACTATGCTGTACATCTGAAACTAATACAGAATAGTATTGAATGTAAACTGTAATCAAAATTTTTTTTAAACATTTAAAAGAAAACAAAAACTTGCACTATATCACCAGCTACTGGGAAGCAAAAGAAAAATAACTAATTGAACTGTTGAATTATTAAAATCAAAATGGTACCTAGGTAAGAAAAGTGTCCACTACTTCAAATGCAACGGTGGAAGAGCAACCCATCAAACACCGTGAACAACCAAGGTAACATGGTAACACGGAAAGAAAATGACAGTTCTCTAGAAACCAAACTCAATCACGGAAGACACATCTAAATAATGGAGAATTCAAAATACTAGTCAGGAAGAAATTTGAAGAGATACAAGAAAACTCAGAAAGGCACTTCAGTGAGCTCAGATATAAAATTCATGAACAGAAGGAGTACTTTCCCAAAGAGATTTAAACTATAAAAAAGAACCAATCAGAAATTCTGGAGCTGGAGAAATCAATAAGTGAGATGAAGAATTCACTAGAAAGCACTGGAAATAGAGAAGACAGTATGGAAGAGAAAATTAATGAGCTAGATAGAAATTGAGAAAAGATTCAGGTAGAAGAGCAGCAAGAATCAAGATTCTTTTTTTTTTTAAATGAAAAAATTCTATGAGGAATGGCTCCATTAAAAAGAACAGGATAATGGGCATCCCAGAAGAAAATGGATGAAGAGAACAGTAGGCCTATTTAAAGAAATAATTGATAAGAATTCCCCATACCTAAGAAAGGAACTGGACACTCAAGTAAAAGAACTATGAAAACACCTAATTATCTCAGTGCAAAACCTTCTCCAAAACACCTCATATTAAAACTGTGAAAAGTTAATGATACCAAAAAAAATAATAATAAGTTGATAAAGAAAGAATTCTCAAGGCAGCCAGGAAAAAAGAAAGTAATAACCTAAAATTATTAAAATTTCTATTAGTATAAAACTGATCAAAATATTTTGTTAAATATTGAGTAAAAATTTACTCAGAAATATATCTCTTAAAATAATCAATGTAGATTTCCCTCACTGCAAAGGATTTATCTATCTCTGGGTTACTATTACGTATACCACAATAATATAGGATAAATTCTACTCCTATTTTTCCTGTTTATAAAGTTAAAGAGAGATTTCTTGATCACGTGTAAATCCAAAGATAATGGAAAGAATTTTTGTTTTGTTCAATCTTACCGACTACAAGAACATTTCTTCTATAACCAATTACTTAACCTCTCCTGAATTTACATGCCAAAATTAGAGTGTGTGTTGTCAAAAACCATTTTCAGTCATCTACCAACTAGCAACTCAATTTCACTAAAAGCAAATAATTGGGAACCACCTGAGTGGTCATTTGCTCCTCAAGATCTTCATCAATATTTTAAATTATTCCTCTGTTTGCTGCCCTGGGATTTCTCCCCAGCCACCCCACCCGCACTGGGAATACTGCACAGTAAGATTGAATTTGGAAAGGGTGAAGAGTTGACCCTTCTTGGTGAGGTGGGAGACGGGCGATTGAGAAAGAGAGTGTCTGGGTAGCAGGGAGCTGATATCTAGGAAAGAAGACAAAGGGAAGTGGAGAATTTCAGAAACTGGCTCTCATAAACCTAGGCCTGCATAGCCATTAGGACCAGTTTACATGCCCCCAGAGGTATCCATACTCCAACAGAGAACAGCAGTGTATAAAATGTAATCTTATTGGCACATGATCAAGATTGCTTAACCTCCTGCATTGCTTACATGAGGGTACACACCATGCCCCAAACTGCCAGCCGTATAGGAAGTTGGCCGCACTGATGCTGCTGTTAAAATGCTGGATAAAGATCTTACAGTTGAAGGAGAAGACTGGCAGGTAAACAAGCAATTATAGGAAAGTGGTAAGTGCTAAAACAAAACTGTGTCTGGGGAACTGGAGAAGCAATAGGGAAGTACTTATATCTGCCTGGGGAAATACTGGGGAGGTTTTCAGAGACGGCAAGATTTGAATTATGAATGGGAGGGAGTTTATCAAGTTGACAAAGGTCAAGATATTTCAAGGCCAAGGGTGTAGTGCATACAAAACATGGAAGTGCAAAGAGGTATTCAAGTGTTAACTCCATGTATCAGTTTGAGTGAAGTGGAGTTCTTTGCGATATAGCTTGATGATTATGCATTCGTTTACAACATTTATCAAAACACATATCTGTTGAGTATCAACCTATGATCCAGGAGATCGCGGTTCGATTCCCGGTCAGGGCACAAGCCCAGGTTGAGCACTCGATCCCCAGCAGGGGGTGTGCAGGAGGCAGCCGATCAATGACTCTCTCACTGATGTTTCTCTCTCTCCCTCTCCCTTCCTCTCTCTGAAATCAATAAAAATAAATTTAAAAAACCACATATCATATACATACAACATACCAGGTACTATGCTAGGCAGTAGAAAAACAAAGGTGAATTATAAACAG